AGGCTCTGGTAGGAGGACCCTTTGACCCAGGTATTCTGTGTCAGCCTGGGAAACAGAGTGAGACCTGTCACCAAAGGACAAAAACGGGGTGGGGGAGGGGAAAAAGAAAGCAACAGTTCTTAGGATGGAGAGATGATAAGTGTTTTTCTGGGCCAGGCATTTGTGGTGCGCGCCTTTAATCCCAGCACTTGGAAGGCAGACACAGTCAGATCTCTGTGAGTTCGAGGCCAGCCTGGTCTACAAAGCGAGTTCTGGTTGCAGATGTCTCTGCACAGAAAGAATACCATTAACTAACTTAGGAGAAAGTCTGTTTGGATGTGGTCCATGCATCCTTTTTTTTTTTTTTTTGACTTTTCATGATTGGTGTGGATTAAGCAAGTATGTGTGTGACTGGAGGCCCTGGCCTGAGGTTGTTTATTTATTTATTTATTTATTTTTTCAGTTTGTCTGTAAAGGGTCCTGTCTCCTAAGTACGTTTAGGAGGGCAACAAAGGCTACTTGAAATCCAGAGCTACCACCACGAAGTGGAGAGCCTGCCTATTCTTGATGCCTGGAAGGGTCAAGAAGGGTGATTGGTATGCATGAAGGACTTGTTGGAATAGAGGAATTGGTCTGGTAAGGTTAGTAGAAGCAGATGGGAGGTGTTTTTTTTGGGGGGGGGAAGATCTGGAGGTGTTTGGCTCTCCAATCTCTGAAACTAGAAAATTGTGTCCATCTTATCTGGACTGGACTTTGAGTTATTAAAAAGTATAAAACATAGTGTGGTTTTTCATTTCCTCTTATTCCTTCCCTCTGGGGGAAAGAGCTCCTGGACCCTTGGCCATTTCTCTGATAGACACACGAGAGGTTAGAGGTATCCTGCTCTCTGAAGACAAGGATGGCACTGGTGACTCTGGGTGATGGTACAGGCTTCCAGTGTTTGGGTCACTGTCTTTTGTCCCTGTGATAGGCGGGAAGGGTCAAGGTCATGGTGTCACGATGGATACTCAGGTTTCTGGCAAATCCTCCACCTTTCCCATGGTTAGGGGAAAGGTGGCAGCCCCCATCCATACAAGTCAGCAGTGAAGTTAGAACATGGGGATCAAATGCAGCTCTTGGTGACACTGTGCATACGGGAAATTCTAACAAGCACGTAACAAGCACAAATTAGAGCTTTGCTGGAATTTCAAAAAGTGTCTCCTCCTAATGATCCAGTGCTGGTGCTTCTATCTCAATGAACTCTCACATTACTGTATGAAACACAACAAACAAACCAAAAAGAAAGAAATATGCCGTGCGGTGGTGATGCACCTTTAATCCCAGCACTCGGGAGGCAGAGGCAGGGCGATCTCTGTGAGTTTGAGGTCAGCCTGGTCTACAGAGTCAGTTCCAGGACAGTCTCAAAACAATACAGAGAAACCCTGTCTTGAAAAACCAAAAAAATAAAATAAAAAGAAAGAAAGATGGCCTGCTGCAGCAGAAACAAAATATATGCTATATAATTCCATGCCATGTAGACTTTACTGAAGACAACACAGATTGGAAATCTTTTTTTATTTTTTAATTTTGAGACAAGGCCTGCTCAGGAACTAACTATGAAGACCATTCTGAATTTATAGCATTTGCCACCCAAGAACTAGGATTAAAGGTCTACATCACTATTCCCAGCTTCAGACTGCAAATATTATTAATTATTATTATTCTTTCATTTTTTTCAAGACAGGGTTTCTCTGTGTAGCTCTGGCTGTCCTGAGACTTACTCTGTGGACCAGGCTGGCCTCACAGAGAGCTGCCTGCCTCTGCCTCCCAAATGCTGGGATTAAAGGCACAACCACCCTACTCTAGATTGGAAATCTTTTTTTTTTTTTGGTTTTTCGAGACAGGGTTTCCCTGTGGCTTTGGAGGCTGTCCTGGAACTCACTTGGTAGTCCAGGCTGGTCTCGAACTCACAGGGATCTGCCTGCCTCTGCCTCCCGAGTGCTGGGATTAAAGGCGTGCGCCACCAACGCCCGGCTAGATTGGAAATCTTAACCAGGGGTTGGAGAGATGGCTCAGAGGTTAAGAGCACTGACTGCTCTTCCAGGGGTCCTGAGTTCAATTCCCAGCAACCATATGGTGGCTCACAACCATCTACAATTCGATCTGGTATCCTCTTCTGGCATGTAGGCAGAACAGTGTATATGTAATAAATAAATAAATCTTTTAAAAAAAAATCTTAGCCGGGCGGTGGTGGCGCACGCCTTTTTAGTCCCAGAACTCGGGAGGCAGAGGCAGGTGGATCTCTGTGAGTTCGAGGCTGGGCTGGACTGATAGCCTCGTAAAAACAACAACAACAAAAAACAAAAAAAAAAACCCAAAACAAAACAAAACAAAAAAACTTAACCAAACCGGAGATGTGAATTTTACATTTAGACAAGTTTGTAAGCCCATAGAAGACACACACACACACACACACACACACACACACACACACACACTGAGTTCCATAGGTAAATATATTGTATTACACTGAGTCTAGGACTGAAAAATACGCTGGTGTACCCTATAATGCCAAGTACCATATAAGATTCAAAATTGGCAAGCTAGTTTATAGCATATTATCATGTGACTTAAGATCAATCCCCAGAAGAAACAAGAGGCAATTCAGAGATGTGAAGTACTAGCTTTCTCTGTGGGATGCTTGAGCTGGTGTCTTCGTGTGTTTTGAGATAGGGTCTCCCTGTGTATCCAGGTTGGCATCAAATCCTCTCTTCCGTCTAAACTGCAGTCTCCCAAGTTCTCAGACTGCAGGCTTGCACCAGCTTGCCCTGCCCAACTGAATTGTGAAGAATGATTTGGATCTTAGAAGCACATTCCAGGCAGAGGGAATACACTCCGTGGTGACGGAAACATAACTATGTGTTTTGTGAGAGTTACCCAGCATAGGAGCTGTGTATCTTGCAGTAAGTAGTATACAACTTTAAGTAAGATTGTGACTGTTAATTTTATTACAGGTGCAACGACTGGGAGGGTTTAAAAGTTTAGTTTGTGCTTCTGTCAGTGACAAAATGAACTGACAGTGTCAATGAGCAAGGTTTTAACATCACAGGGAGTCAAAAGGAGGGTGGGGGGCACGGGCCTTACAGAGTTGTGACAATGATTTTAGAGCGCTGCCTACCCAGATTTTTCTTTGGTAGATTCCTCTATTTTTTTTTTTCTAGGTAGAAAATGGTAAAAGGCTGGGTGAAGTGGTGCAGGTCTTTAATCCCAGCACCAGGGAGTCAGAGGCAGGAGGATCTTTGTGAGTTTGAGCACAGCTTGATCTACATAGAGAGTTCTAGAACACTCAGGATTATCTCAAAACAACAACCAACAACACCCCCCAGAAACCAAAACCAAAATTAACAACAACAACAACAAGAAACTAAACAAACTGATACAAGGCATTTTGCTGATATGAAATGGTAATAAAGATTCAAAAATGTCTTAGATAAAGATGATTGATTTGTAGCCGGGCACAGTAGCACCACACCTTTCAGCCCAGCACTCAGGCGGCAGAGACAGGAGGATCTCTGTGAGTTCCAGATCAGCCTGGTCTACAGAGTTCCAGGACACCCAGGGTACATAATGAGACCTTGTCTTGGAAAAAAAAAAAAAAAAACAAGCAAGCAAACAAAACCAAAAAAAAAAAAAAAGTGATTTGCAAACCAAAGTCGTGAGACAGAGCAGCTCTGGAGCTGAGAGGCATCTTCCTCTCTTCAAGAAGTGCTGGATAAGCCCTACAACCTACCCATCAAGGGCTTGGTGGATGAGCCAGGAGAGGTGTAGGGAGGGGCTGAGCACTTAATAACAAGTCAGGGCGTTGGAGCTAAAAAAAAAATTGATTGGCAAATCAAGGCAGGGCACTTCTGTCTTTGGAAAAGAAGTTCCTATTTTCAAAGTTCTTACAACGAAGCCTCAAGATTGGGGAAGTGGAAGCGACTGGGAGCTGAATTTCTCTTCCCTGTATACAAGAACCCTTCTGGCCAGCGCTCCCAGCGGCCTCACAGGCTCTGTGGGCGAGGCCTCGTGCTGGCAGTGCATTCCGCCGAGCAGTACAATCCTTAAATACATATTCAGTTCCCAGAAACGGAACTACTCTACAGAAGGAAAGAGATTAAAAGACAGCTACTTGTTTAAAAAAAAATTAAAAAAGGTGTCTCAAACCTTAAGCCTTTCTGGGGCTTAATCAGCCCGTAAAAAGCTGCAGCATTCTAGTTCCAATTCGCTACCGGTATAAACACCAAGGAGACTTTTAATCCCAGCGCTCAGGAAGTAGAGACTCGTGAATCTCTGTGAGTTCGAGGTTGCCCTGGTCTAGAAAGCAAATACCAGGGCAGGCAGGACTGCACCGGGAAACAAGATGGTGGAGCAGGAATATAGCTCAAGGTGGGTGGAATGCTTGTCTAGGATGTGTTAGGTGATAGGTTCAATTCCAAGCACCACACACACAAACAAAAACCAAAACCACTAGGGAGTGGAGAAAGAACTTTTGGCTTTCTCCATTTTCCCACAAGATGAACACATAACTCTAAACTCAACCTTCACATTTGTCGGGAGTGGGTAAAAGACTTGACGTTAAGACTCCTTCCATCCCTACCTGTCTTATCGGATCATAGCAATGACTAACTCCCGGAGGCACCAAGCCCAGTCCACAAAGAACATGGACGGCAAGGCTTCTGCCTAGTGCGCAGGTTGTACCTTGGACCCCACCTCTTTCCATTCCTCGGTTCTCCAGCAGAGGGCGCAGGCACCGGGTTTCCTCTGGGCCCCGCCCCGGGTGGCCCCGCCCCGCCCCGTCCCTAAGGGTCGGGGCGGGAGCAGTGGGCGCGGAAACTTGGTCAAGGCTTTCCGGGAGCTGCTGGGCACGCGGGTGCTCGTGAGCTCGCGCGCGAGTTGGGGGGGGGGGAACGCCGCGGCGTCCGCGGCTTGTGGGTCTCGGGCGCGCGCCCCCGCGCTGCGCCGGCCGCGCTCGCGCTCGCGCTGGCACAGGGGCGCGCCTCCGGGCGGGCGCCTCCCTCTCACTCCCTCGGCTGCGAGCGCCGGCGGTGGCTGCCGGAGGAGAGGCCCCTCCTTCTCGCCCCGCTCATTTCTCTCGCTCGCGGCCGAGCGGGCTCCCGACCCTCCGCTGGCCATGGCCGGCAACGTGAAAAAGAGCTCGGGAGCCGGCGGCGGCGGCTCGGGGGGCTCGGGCTCTGGCGGCCTGATCGGGCTCATGAAGGACGCCTTCCAGCCGCACCACCACCACCACCACCTCAGCCCGCACCCTCCCGGCACGGTGGACAAGAAGATGGTGGAGAAGTGCTGGAAGCTCATGGACAAGGTGAGCGGCCTGCGGGCGGGCGCGCGCCGCGCCGGGTGGGCGTGGGCGGTGGGGAGGGAGGGCTGCCGTTGGCAGTTGGGAACGTTGAGGTGTGGGGGAGCCAGACAAAGATGGGGTGGGGGCTGGGGGACGGCTGGTCACCGCGCCACCGGGGCGGAAGTGCGATGGGGGTGCGGAGCTTGGGGATGTGGGTCGCCGAGTGGGCCCTGGGAGGTGGGCCTGAGAGATGTGTGTTGGATCTGCGGGCTCGGAAGAGGAGTCCTGGGTGAGGGACCTGGGGTCAGAGGACCGGACGCCAGGGCTGACTGCGGTCTGGGTGAGGTTATAGCTCTTTTCTCATTAAGATGTAACACGAAGATCAAAGAACGAGGTGGGTTTAAATGGGGGCAGGGAAGGAACTTCCCTTCACCGCTAAGGGCTTAAGTTTTTTGTTGTCTTGCGAAGTGTTGGATGTAATCCATTGCTGGGGCTGAGATAGGCACTGGTTAAACCACAAGTTTTGGTTAGAGCCATTATCTTTCGAAAGGTGAACTGACTGAGCGTGCCAAATTGCAGTCAGACTTGTACAGAACTTCCTCCTGTACTCGGTGCTTTTAGCTGGGCTGTAGTGTTTGATTTTTGTAACGGGCCTATCTGCCCCTTATTTCGGAGCCTGACTTTGAGCTTGTTTCATGAACCCCTTTGATAGTCATTTTAAATAAAATCAGGTGCAGGGTGGGGCTAACACTTTGTTTAGCTCTTTAAGCCTGTCATTCGGGAGAATCTTACTTCCTTATAGTTGTGTCTGCATAATGTAGTCTTGCAGTTGACTCAAATACTTAAAAGTGTACACATAGCCACTTAAAATTTTGTTCAAGTTCGATGCGCTGTTTCTTTGATTCTTATCATTCATTAATTTTTCAAAAGCCCTATTGCAGATAAATGTGATTAGGATGATCTGGCATGTAAGCAAATGGTGTTATTTCCTCCAGGGTAGACTTGGTTTTCTTTGGTTCCTCTCTGGGCCCAGGTTCCTCTTCTGTAAAGTTCTTCATGGGTTGTTTTGGACTAGAAACAGCCAATAAAATTATTATGAAGCACTTGGCAAATGTAACTGCTATATAAATGCTTAACAAGTCCTGTGTGAGAATTAACACTCTTGCAGTGTATACCAGTGGTTTCAGAGCCACTTTTCCAGGGTTGATTTTCTCTACCTTAAGTAATTTGAGTTGTGGGAGCCTCCCTCCTCCGTCCCAACTGGTATTGTAATTAATGACATAAGTACTTGAGTGGTGATTATTTTGATGTTGTAGAACTAACTTTATTATTGGAAATTATAAAACCACCATAAAGATGTGCTGACATCTTGTTTGTTTCTTTTTTATTTAATTTAGTTTTTTATTTTGTGTGTGGATGTTTTGTGTGCATATATGGCTGTCTTGAGGCCATAACTCCCGTGGAACTGGAGTTAATGGATGGTTGTGAGCTGCTGTATGGGTTTTGGAAATTGAACCTGGGTCTTCTGCATGAAAAAGTGCCCTTAGTCACTGCACCAACTCCCCAGCCCTAATGTAGCTGTGGCTATCTGGAGATGCTGGGGAATGAATCCTTGTTTGTTTCTTGAGACAAGCTTTCACTATGTCAGGCCAGTCTGGAACTCATAGCAATCTCTCTGCCTCAGCCTGTCAAGTGCTGCCTAGATCCTTGTGTTGACATCTTAAAAACTATTGAATGTCCTTAAAATCTGAAGTTTAAAGGTTTACATTTTTGGAGCTTAGCTGTTGGGAACTCCTGGTATAGAAAAATAGTTTCATTTCTAGTTTCCCATATAGGATGTGGGGAGTGGGTTCATTGTATCAAAGTAAGTGACTTCCTTAAAATAATGAACTTTTAAAAATGGTGTTTTTGATAATGAAAGATAGTTTATAGCTAGTCATATTCTACATGGTAGCTAATCCAGGTAAGCCCTCCTTTATTTTATGTCTTCTGTTTTCATCACTTGAAAGTATTGAACTTTTGAGTTTTTCTAGGTACATTTAGTTTTTTTTTTGGTTTTTCCAGACAAGGTTTCTCTGTATTGCTTTGGAGGCTGTCCTGGAACTCACTCTGTAGACCAGGCTGGCCTTGAACTCACAGAGATCCACTTGACTCTGCCTCCGGAGTGCTGGGATTAAAGGCATGTGCCACTAACGCCCAGCGGGGTGTTTCATTCCTTACTGATTGTCTCAGAAGATGGTTTCAGCAATGTGTCCCATAGCACGCTACTAATTGTGCTGAAGTGAAGCCCAGGCCTTTCTCACGTTAGGCCTGCAGGTTTGTGCGGCCTTTCAGACTTCCAGATTGTCTTAATACTTCCATATTAAGTATATTCCTTAGCATTTACCTAATACTTGCTAGATTGTACCACCTCCTTTGCCCTTGTTGTTTTGGGGTTTCTTTTTACTTCACTTTTTAAGTTTTTTTTTAAATATACACTATTTGCTTTGCGTGCATATGTTTGGATGTTTTTATGCATGCCGTAGCCCATGTGTGGAGGTCAGAGAATGACTTGTTGGAATTGGTTTGCTCCTTCCATCAAACGGGTCCCCATATATCTTTACCATCTTTACTATCTTGCTGTCCCCTCTTTTGAAGTCTTTTTTTTTTTTGGTTTTACAAGACAGGGTTTCTCTGTGTTGTTTTGGAGGCTATCGGTCCAGCCTGGCCTCGAACTCACAGAGATCTGCCTGCCTCTGCCTCCCGAGTGCTGGGACTAAAAAGGGGTGTGCCACCACCGCCCGGCTTTCTTTTGAAGTTTTTAAATGAGGTCATTATACCATTTATTTTAATTTTATATGTATGAGTGTTTGCCCTGCACACATGTATATGTATCCCGTGTATGCTTGGTGCCTCTGAGAGGGCCAGAAGAAGGAGTCTTATCCCCTGGAAATGGAGTAACAGACTGTTGTGAACTTCCATGCAGGTTTTGAGAATTGAACTTTAGTCTTCTGCAAGAGCAGCAGTGCTCTAACCATTGAGCTAGGTCTCCAGCATCTCACTGCATCTTTCTGATACGTGAAATTATATAGTAAGTCCTGAGTCATCATTTTATACCTGTTTTGTTTTTATAAAAGTTAGATGTGTGTTATTCCAGCCTGCTGCTATGCTAGTCAGTTTACTGAGTTAGCCCTGGGTACTGCTGGTCTCTTTCCTTCCCCCAATATTGGATGTCTGCAGCTGTTGTAAGTTGTGGGCTTTGCTTAACACAGGCTCATTTTGCACAGCCATGTGGGACATAAACTTGTTAGAAAAAATGCTTGTATTAGAACATCCCTTAAACAAAAATGGACGTAACCAACTTTTTTGGCTGTCCCTCCTTGTCTTAACAGGATATTGTAATATTTACAGAATTATTTCTCTGTAAAGAAATTGGCTGGTAGGCTGGAACGCCTTTAATCCCAGCACTCAGGAGGCAGAGGCAGGAGGATCTCTGAGTTTGAGACCAGCCTGGTCTACAGAGTGAGTGCCAGGACAGCCAGGACTACACAAAGAAACCCTGTCTCAAAAAAACAAAAACAAAAAAAAAGAAAAACAAAGAAAAAAAAAAGGAATTGGCTAGTATGTTAAAGACTAGGCAGGGAAGAGAGTATGGAAAGAAAACTCATAAATGACCTTAATGTGTACATTTTTTGGGGGGGGTTGTTTGAGATAGAGTTTTTCAGTGTAGTCTTGACTGTCTTGGAACTCTGTAGACCAAGCTAGACTCAAATTTAGAGATCCACCTGCTTCAGCCTCTCAAGTGCTGGGATTAAAGGTATGTGCCACCACCACCTGGCTTCATGTAAATTTTAAGCCAAGATATTTAATTTAGTGAGATATAAAAATGCCATTGTAAAGTACAGCAAGGGTTGTCAACTATTTCAGATAAAGTAAATGTTTTAATCTTTCTGGTTACATGCTTAATCCCATTTAACGGTTTAAAACTGTAAAAATTATTCTTAGCTTTCAGATATTCTGGGGGATATATAGTCTTTCAGGCCATGATTTTCTCCCTCTGAAGTGGTAGAGTTGGTAGGATCATTATAGTCTATGCTGTCTTAGAACCCATTGTGTAAGCCGGGCGTTGGTGGCGCACGCCTTTAATCCCAGTACTCGGAAGGCAGAGGCAGGTGTATCTCTGTGAGTTAGAGACCAGCCTGGTCTACAAGAGCTAGTTCCAGGACAGCCTCCAAAGCCACAGAGAAACCCTGTCTCAAAACAAAACAAAGCAAAACAAAAAAACCAACCCATTGTGTAGCTCAATCTGGCCTTGAACTAACAGCAGTCCTGGATTATAGGCAGGCGTCACCACACAAGCTTTAAGTTTTTGAGTTTAAAAGAAGTATTTTCAAAAACATTATTTTGAGGCAGTGAGATGGCTTAGCAGGTAAAGATACTTGCTGCCAAGTTAATCTGATGACCTTAGTTTGAGCCTCAGGACCTACAAAGTGGAAGGAGAGAACCAAGTTCAGCAGGTTGGCACACATACAGGCACACATGTGCACACGCTAAATAAATAAGTGAAAATGAAGGAAAATGTGATTATTTTTAGGTTATCTTTTCTTGGCCATACCTATTCCCCTAAAGAACATTGGGTAAATTAGTATGTTTTGGAAGTAAAATGTCTTTAGTTGGATTTTTAAGCTCATTTGTTTCATTGGACTTCTGGCTCTTTCCCACTTCCCTTAAGTCTTCCTTCTTACATTGGATTTGTGTGCTGTGTTCCAGGCACATGCTAGGTGTTAAATTCACACACTCTAGGAGATAATGTGATTTGTAATGATAAGTGACTACTGAAGTTGTCCAAAGTGATCTGGGATCTCTTAGCTTTAAACACAAAACATATTTGTTCTGGGTTTATCTTAACCTCTGATGCTTGTATCCCCCCCCCTTTTTTTCTTTTTTAGATGGGTTCTCACTATAACCTGGAATTCACATAGATCTGTCTGTCTCTGTTTGCCAAGTGATGGAATTAAAGACATACTACCATACCTGACCTTTTC